AAGCCAATCCTGCCTTTTCCCCAGCTGCAGTCGAAATTCCCCAATTCCTCCTCTCTCAGACCCCAAACCCCAAGTCCACGTGTAATCTGGGTGGAGGGCGGGAGGTGGCGGGAGGGAAAGACAACTTGTAAGCCGGTAATGAAACTTCTAGACCCGATCCTGAAAAGTTTGTAGCAGAACAAGTTTCCAGAAGCCTAAAGGAGAAGAAAGTGGAGAAAAAGGAGTTTCCAGGCGTGAGATTGGGATGGGTGGGGGTGCGAACTGATGGAAGGACAGGAGAGAAAGCGGTCTGCTGGAGCCCAGAGGGGCTTGGGGAGAACAGAGGGGAGCATCTACTGGGACAATGGCTGCTGGAAAGATGGGGGGGAGAGGGTAGGGAGGGATTCTGGAAGAGGGTGTGTCTAGGGAGGCTTGGGAGTGGAGGAGGTAAATCGGCCAGAATTGGTGGGGTGGAAAGAAGGGAGAGGATAGCAGGAGGGCTGGAGGGATGATGAGGTAATACAAATATCCTCTGAATGGAAAGAGCTGAAGAGAGGAAGTGAGGAGGTGACAGTTTGGCAGTAGCTACCCAAAGACAGTCGAAGTAGAGATCAGAGGAGAGCTGAGTTGGTTTGGATATGGGACGTGTAGATGCAGAAGGAAAAGCCTCGCCCCCCACCCCAACTCTCTCCCTTCTGTGTGGGTGTGGATGAAGAGACTTGGTTCCATGGTATTTGGGTGTAAAATCTCAGGCAGCAGCCTTTCTTGTGTCTGTCTGGACCCCTCCCCTCCAGCATTGCCTTCTGTCCCCTGTCTTAGGACCTTGACTCTGCCCTTCCCTTCCTTTCTCTCCTTGGTGGTCTGTGTCACCCTGTTTGTTCATTCTTCCCCACCCTCCGCTTTCCTGCCTCCTTTTTCTTTGCTTTTCCCTTTTGTTCATCTGTCTTTGTGTTTTCCTGTTTCTCTCTCTCTCCTTATTCGCTGGTTTCTTAGTCATTCCCTCTCCCTGGGCCCCAGGGAAGTCAACTCCAGCCTGGGTCCGCCCCTTAGGTGTGGTCCCTACCTTACTTTCATGCTGGCCTCTGGGGCTATTTTTACTCCTGGGTGAAGCTATGCTGGTATGGATTTTGGCCCTATGTCCAATACAAGAATTATTGGTAGCCAGAGGACTTGTACTGGAGAGATCTAGAAGTGGGAATGAGGGCGTTAGTGGGCTGGAGAGGTTCCCTAGCAGCTCAGGCCTTAGCTTCGCTGTCCCTGCCCCCACTTCCTTAGCAGGAAGGAAGCTGCTGAGGCCTGAGACACCAAGAGATGAATCAGTCTCAGCCCAGGGGGAGGTGTCCCTTGGGGGATGAGGTCACTACTTGCCAATTAGAGAGTAGCCCCCCTCTACAGGGCCCTCCATATCTCTAGAATAAGGCTCAGGACCCCTTGAGTTCCCACTCAGTTGTCAGAAACAGGTTGAATGGAGATGTAGTAAATCAATTCTGGCTTCCAAACCCCACTCCATCCTTAGAGTCCTTAGACTCAATTCAGGAATCTAGGGCCCTAGCCTCTAATTCTAGCCTCACCACAGTCCCATACCCTTCCCTCTCTATGATTTAGACCCTCCACGTTCTCTAAGACCCATTCCCTCTGCCTCTTCCTGCTTGTGCTTAATCTCTGGAAACTAGAAGCCTGCCTTTGCCAAAATTTTCCCATTGATCTGCCCTAAATTTGATCTAGGCCAGCTCTGATAGCTTATAATAGGGGAATAGAGCATAACTAGGAAGATAATAGCTGGTGGTCTGGGAGTAGGAGGTGAAGAAAATGGCCTGGGAGGTGTGGGGTACACCAGACCTAATCTTAGGATGGGGATTGCTTTTCAGGCTGGCAGTGATGGGGCCAAGATTGGAAACTGCCCCTTCTCCCAGAGACTGTTCATGGTGCTCTGGCTCAAGGGAGTCACTTTCAACGTCACCACTGTTGACACCAAGAGGTGGGCCTACTTCTGTTTTTCTAAATACCCCTTGAATACATGCATGTATATGTGTACACACATACTCAGGCCTACCTGAGTCCTTCCATCTTAAACCTTTTCCCTCTCCACCTGGAGCCTTTTTCTCTTCCCACATTCCTCTATCTCCTTTCTGGCTCTCCCTGACCCCTTTTTCCTACCCTGATACCTGGCCTCTTCTCCAGGAGGACTGAGACAGTGCAGAAACTGTGCCCAGGAGGGCAGCTCCCATTCCTGCTGTATGGTACTGAAGTACACACAGATACCAACAAGATTGAGGAATTTCTGGAGGCTGTGCTGTGCCCTCCCAGGTATAGGAGTACTTGGAAAGGGGAGAGGGGGAACTGGAAGACTCTGGAGAACTGAGAGTTTGAAAAAATAGAATACAGAGATGGTGATGGGGCTGGGGCAGGGGAGATAGATAACAAAGCCTCCTTCTATGAAGGTATCTTACCTTGTTTCTCTCATTGGCTTTCAGGTATCCAAAGCTGGCAGCTCTGAATCCTGAGTCCAACACAGCTGGGCTGGATATATTTGCCAAATTTTCTGCCTATATCAAAAATTCAAACCCAGCACTCAATGATAGTGAGTTTTGTGGATCAGAGGCCAGAAGACTGGGTCCTGGGGGAAGGGAAAACACCCAAGGGTTGAGAGGCATTAAGGGCATTTGGAAGTTCAGGTTATCAGGAAGATGGAGTAGGTGTTGGAAAAATCTCTTCAGCCTTCCATTTTTGCTTTACCTCTTTGTCTCCCTGCATTCTCAGACTACCTGAGCACAAATCCAGCTAGTTGTATGACTGAACAGTTCACTTAGCCTCTTTGTAAATCCATTTCCAGATCTATAAAATGAGGATAATAATACCTATTTCCTGGGTTGCTGTGAGAATTAAATGAGTTTTGTTTCTGAAGGGCTTAGACTTGGGGGCTGGGGATATAACTCAGTGGTAGATCATTAACATGCTCAAGGCTGTCAGTTGAATCCCCAGCACCTCTCACCAAAAGGGGGGGGGGAAGTGCTTGTTCTCTGTGTTACTATATATTAATATTTGGTATTATTATTTTGTACTGGCCTTGCATTATGTCCCCCCCTCCCCCAGGGTCTTCTTGGATAGGCTTTCTCAGTCTTCTGGTATTCTAATCAGTTCCCTCTCTTGCACAGATCTGGAGAAGGGACTCTTGAAAGCCTTAAAGATTTTAGACAATTACTTGACATCCCCCCTCCCAGAAGAAGTGGATGAGACCAGTGCTGAAGATGAAGGCATCTCTCAGAGGAAATTTCTGGATGGCAATGAGCTCACCCTGGCTGACTGCAACCTATTGCCAAAGCTCCACATAGTACAGGTGAATGGTCACTATGGGAGGAGAGGATGGTAGCTGGGGTGGCTCTCTAAGGGGCTTCCACATGACAGTCACTTCCCATGACAACAATTTGAAGGTGATTTATTTCATAGCATGTTTTTCATAGATTGCTACCAAGGTGGACAAAGTTGCTACCACCCCAGTGACAAAGTCTAGTCCCCAGCAGTCATTGCTGACTTGACAATTACATTCCATGAGACAAGCCATGGGTGCACATGCCTTAGCCAAGACTAACACATTCTGGTATTACTTTCAAAAAGTCTTCCTATCTCTGTATTACTGCCAGATCCCCAGATAGACAAAGCAGGCTTTTCCTAAGGCAAAGCTGTAACTCTTTGTAGCTTCAGACTCCACTTCCTCTTAAGGAAGTTGAAAACTTCTGCTTCCCATGTCTTTATTATAGCCTCAAAGCTGTGGTATAGTTTATAAAACATGGGCCCAAAGTCAGTCTGCCATACAACTGAGTAATGAAAATCTGTGTACTAGTCATTGAAAGACAAAAGATGTTTGGCAACTGGTCCATGCCTTTTAAGAGATGAAACCTAACAGAACATAATATTAACATTAAAGTTATGAATAATACATGTCTAAAAGTCAAATGAAAAATAGAGACAAAAATCACTGGAACCAGGTGCAATAGCACATGTCTGTCAACCCCCCAACTTAGGAGGGAGGGATCACAGGTTTGAGGACAGCCTCAACAATTTAGCAAGACAGTCTCAAAAAAATAAAAAGGTCTGAAGATGTAGCTCTGTGGTAGAGTGTCTCTGGGTTCAATCCCCAGTACTGACAAAAAAAAAAAAAAAAAAAAAAAAAACAACCCACTGTGGAAATTCAAGTTAATTCCTCTCCCCCACCCCTTTAATACCAGGGATTTAACCCAGGGGCGATCAATCACTGAGCTACATCCCCAGCCCTTTTTAAATTAACTTATTTTTTTTTTTTGGTACCAGCGATTGAATCCAGGGATGCTTAACCACTGAACCATATCCCCAACCCTTTTTAAAATAATTTAGAGACAGGGTTTCATTAAGTTGCTGAGGCTGGCTTTGAACTTATGATCTTCCTGCCTCAGCCATGTGTGTGCCACAGTGCCTGGCAATTCCTCTTTTTACTTATCTTCCCTGGGGTTTACATTTTGGTTTCTCTCCTCTTCCCATCTCCAGGTGGTATGTAAGAAGTACAGGGGATTCACCATCCCTGAGGCCTTTCGAGGAGTTCATCGATACTTGAGCAATGCCTATGCTCGGGAAGAATTCGCCTCCACCTGTCCAGATGATGAAGAGATCGAGTTGGCCTATGAACAAGTGGCCAAGGCCCTCAAATAGGCCATTTCTGGGGCTCCCTCACCCCCGTACATGTTCTTTACAGAGGCCCAGGGCGGTTTCCACGTTGCTTCCCATGGACACACTCCAAAATGGCCAGTGGACAGAGAATCCTGGGGCACTTGTGCAGGACTGGGGGGGGGGGGGGGGTTTGGGGGGGGGAAGGGAATAAGGGTAAGATTTTTATTGTGGGATGGAGTGGGTAGGACAACTTATTTCAGTAATAAAATACGTAGTGAAAATGTAGTGTTGTTTTTACACAAAACGGAGTTGGAGTGTAGTTGACACCAAATTAGGGGTGGGTCAGTGATCTTGAGCTCAGCGCAGAAGCCAGGAATTAAGGAAAGGGATATTTGTTCCAGGGCTTCCGTCTGTTTTTTTAGTGCCAGTCCAATACAGTGCTGTCTTCTGGTCCATGCCGCATTTGCTTCCTGGCCGATAGGGCTAGCCAGATCTGGGTGGGCCTGGTCCGCGCTCGGGGGGCGGTGCCGAGTTCAGGGAAGGGGGGCTCAATCCTGGTGGAATGGGCGCGGCATCGCAGAGCGGAATAGGCGTGGCCTTGTAAGGCTCCGCCCCGTCCCGCTTAGACAATGCCCGGGAGCCGCCAGACCCAAGCGCCCCCGCCCCGTCGTAGGACGTGAACTCGCCAACCCAGGGACCCCTCAAAAGCTAGAGCTCCCAGTCTCTTGTCTTGAAGACTAGGATTCCTTTGTATCCCTACCCTACCCTCTGGGGGTGGGGCCCCAGCCGAGATCACAGCGCAGCAGGAGTGACCACTGGAGGTGAGTCTGGGGAGATGGGTGACCCCTAGACCGTAGCTGGTATTTGGGGATACCGGGCCTGTGCCAGTACCGAAAGGAGTGTGCGGGAGGCTGGCTTTTGGGTTGGAGCTGGGCCGGGTGGACTTCGGTGGAAGATGGACAGGGGTACCGGGTCTTGGGGCCAGGAGTGGCGCCCGCGCCCCGGAACCACGCCCCCGTTTCCCCGCCTCCCGGATTTCGTTGTAGACCTCTCCCAGTCCTCCGGGACTAGGTCTGGTTTATACTGGGTCGCGCCAGGGACAGCGTGACTGGCCTGGGTGGAGAGAGGATGCTTAACTCCTTGGACTCTTAATTCTTCTCTCTCTTCCTTTTTTTCCCCTTGGGGCTTAAGGACTTCTTGTCCTGGGTCCTGATTCACTCCCCAGCTTTCTCCTCCTGCCCCATTACCCCTGTGTGTGGGTCCCTGGCCAGACTTCGGGTCCCTCCAGCTGCGAGCTGCTGAGGGTTAAGGGGGCGGGGCCGCCGCATTTTTGGGGAGTGAGCGCATCCTAGCGGCTGCCAAGAGGGGCGCCCAGCAGGGACCTTTTGAAGCCCCCGAACAGGGGCAACAGGTGTTTTGGAGATTAGGGATTTAAGACTTGTTCCATGGGCTCCTCTTAAAGAAGCAGACTCATGGGGTTGCAGTGTGGAGTAGGGTCCACCGAAGAGAAAGGTCTGGAGGGGGTGGGGAGGAGTGGGAGGGGCACCGAGATGGCAGGAGGAAGACCCTCTTAATCACCGTTAATCAGGCTCTCTTATTCACCCCCACGACCTTCTCTTCATGCCTCTTTCTATGCTTCCCCCTGTTTCTTCTTCCAGACAGGTGAAGTAAAAAGAAAACAGAAATCAGCTTGGCCGGAAAGGGCGTCTGTGTGGATGGGATGGGGACGCCGGGGGAGGGGCTGGGTCGCTGCTCCCATGCCCTGATCCGGGGTGTCCCCGAGAGCCTGGCGTCGGGGGAGAGTGCAGGGGCTGGCCTTCCAGCTCTGGACCTAGCCAAAGCTCAAAGGGAGCATGGGGTGCTGGGGGGTAAACTGAGGCAGCGACTGGGGCTACAGCTGTTAGAACTGCCTCCGGAGGAATCGCTGCCGCTAGGACCGCTGATTGGTGATACAGCCGTGATTCAAGGCGATACGGCCCTAATCACGCGGCCCTGGAGCCCGGCTCGTAGACCTGAGGTGAGCGCCAGGGTGGGTGTGTAAGGGGAAGGGCGAGAGGAGTTGGATGTCCGAGTTTGGGAAAAGAATTGGGAGTTGGGGTGTCTGAGCCGGCACTCTTCTCTTGCACTAAGGTTGATGGAGTCCGCAAAGCCCTTCAGGACTTGGGTCTCCGAATTGTGGAGATGGGGGATGAGAACGCAACTCTGGATGGCACTGACGTTCTCTTCACGGGTGAGGCTGGGGTCTTGTCACAGGGAAGCAGTTTGGGAGACCTAGGATGTCTCGGGCCTTGTTTTCAACTCACTCAGGTCATCAAACCTTTGTGGCCTTCCCGGGGGTTCAGGCCGGGAGTTTTTTGTAGGTCTCTCCAAGTGGACCAATCACCGAGGAGCTGAGATCGTGGCGGACACATTCCGGGTGAGGAGCGGTACCAGCCTTGGGAGGGAGTGGGGCGCAGGCAGGAGCCCCGGTAGCCTGAGGACTCCGTGAGGAGGAGGAAGAAGCCTGGGAGCAGCCTATGTTTGAGGGTATCCCCTCTCACCCCTCCCACGACCCTGAATACCCTCGCCTTTGCTCTCCACAGGACTTCGCCGTCTCTACTGTGCCGGTCTCTGGCCCTTCTCACCTGCGTGGCCTCTGTGGCATGGGGGGACCCCGCACTGTGGTAGCAGGCAGCAGTGACGCTGCCCAAAAAGCTGTCAGGGTGAGGAGGGGCGGGGTGGGGTGTGGCCAACGACCATGGGCGTGGCTCCAAACTCAGGAGGCGGGAGCTCCAACCCTAGCCTTCACCAAGCTGTCCATCTAAGTATGAAAGATCACCCAAGTAAACAGGTGGGATACATAACAATAGCTGGCAGGGAGCAGGGAGACTGGGAACAGGGATGATTAACTTGCTCTTCCAGAGTTTTAGGAAACTCCTTAAAGGTGATATTTAAACGGATTTGTAGGATGGATGGGACAGACAGGTGGGAGCTGGAGAAGGGCAAAAGAGGGTTACAGGTGAAAAGGACTGCATCTGAGTAAAGAGTACAAGATAGAAATTAGCAGAACACTGTCTGACATATTAGAACACTGTGTGACATATAGTAAGGACTATGTACTTGCTGTCACTATTATTCCACAAATAGAACTGTCCCAAGTCTTTAATAGGGCCCTTAGTTTGTGGTAGGATAGGCAAATTCAATTGTGGAAAAGCTCTGATACTTAAACACTTCCTCTTTCCTTTCTCTCAGGCAATGGCAGTGCTGACAGATCACCCATATGCCTCTCTGACTCTCCCAGATGACCCAGCTGCTGACTGTCTCTTTCTGCGTCCTGGGTTGCCTGGTGCACTCCCTTTCCTCCTGCATCGTGGAGGTGGGGACTTGCCTAACAGCCAGGAGGTGAGAGGGGTATGAGCTCCACCACCACTACCCACTACCAACAACAACCAATAAAAGAATTTTTCCCAGTGGGAGGAAGGAGGGGTACCTTACCTAGAAACCTGGGTGGAGCCACTATAAGGTGGCTGGACAAGGGTGACTCTAGACTCAAGGTTTTACTCCCTTCTCTGTACTGTCCCTGCAGGCACTGCAGAAGCTCTCTGATGTCACCCTTGTACCTGTATCCTGCTCAGAACTGGAAAAGGCTGGTGCTGGGCTCAGCTCCCTTTGCCTGGTGCTCAGCACACGCCCCCACAGTTGAGGGCCTGGCTTGGGATTCTGGGTGGCCAGCAAAATAGGAATTAGAAGGGGAAGGAGAGCTGGGCATGGTGGCACACACCTGTAATGTCAGAGACTCGGAAGGCTGAGGCAGGAGGATCACAAGTTTGAAGCCAGCCTCAGCAATTTAGCAAAGCCCTGTCTCAAAATAAAATAAAAATGGCTGGGGATTTAGCTCAGAGGTAGAGCATCCCTGGGTTCAATCCTCAGTACTGCCCCACCCCCCAAAAACCCAATAATAATAAATAATAATAATAGAAGGGGAAGGAGGATTAGATAGATGATAAGTAGGTAGTAGCAGGAAAGGGCCCCAAGATGGGGTGGGATGGGACATAGTGTAGGGAAAAGTATAGGAGCCACTGGGTGAGTCCTCTCTCAGAACCAATAAAATAGAATTGGCCTTTTAGATTGTGCTGTGGCTGGTCTTCCTGGGGCAAAGGGATGGGGCGGGGCTGAAACCTGAGCTGGTGTCAGTGCTGGAAAAGAGAACTCTTTCATTCAAAAAACCCTTGTTAAGCAGTTACTCATTGCCCAACCCTGTCCTAGGTGCTTGGGCAGAAGATGGGTAAAACAGAATTTGTATTGTGCACAGTCTGTCCAGGGCAGAAAAGGGAGTGTGTGGGTGGATCACTCTCTGACTATATCTAAATGTCAGATGATTCAGACACTGGTAGATTAACAGTCCACCTTTACTTGATAGAGAAGAAGAAATGACATTTTCAGAGACAATCATTTTCATTCACTCATTTACTGAAGCTTAGCAGTGATATCAAAAGGGTCAGTCTCCAGATGTCAGGGAACTTACAGTACATGAACATTTCTTACAAATTGAAATATAGATAGTAATGTAATAATTCACAGGAAGCTGTTTCTTTCTATGAGAAAAATAAGGGACTCTGTAAGGTATCAAAGTGTGTGCTGCAAAGGGCAAGGAGGTTCAGGAACAACTTCTCAGAAAAGGCAACACAAACTGAGTCCTGAGGATAAATAAGAATTAGCCAGGCAGGTAGTGGAGAGGAGAAAAAAAGGGTAATCCAGAAAGAAGGAATTACTCTGGACAGAGGCATTTTGGATGGCTGGGGAGATTTTTTTCTAAGGCTGGCATGTTGCGTGCACATGGAATGACAGATAAGCCAGAGAGTGCTATATCACCTTGTATCAAAAGCCAAGGTCCAGGGCTGAGGCTGTAGCTCAGTGGCAGAGTGATTGCCTAGCACTTTGAGGCTCTGGGTTCAATCTTTAGCATTACATTAAAAAATAAACAAATAAAATAAAGGCATGCTGTCCATCTACAACTACAAAAAATATTTTTTAAAAAAGCCAAGGTCCATGACCCAGAGCTGAAGCTTAAGGATAAAAATACCACAGTTTAAAAATAAGGGATGTCAGGAGCAAGTTAGTACTTGAAGAGGATCTCTGGCTTCAGAGGAGGGCAAAGCAGAAGTATGAGTTATGGATAACCCAGGAAGGAAATGAGGAGATTACATTCTGGTGACAGCACTAGACATGGAAAAAAGATTTGACAGTGACCTTAAGATAGACAAGACTTCATGGCTCATTGTGTGGAAATGAGAAATGAGGTCATATGACTCCAGGTTTCTGGCTTGGTCAACTGGGTTGATCAAGAGAGAATGTAAACAATAAATTGTGCTTGATACACTGTGCAAAATGCCTGGGGTCAGCCAGGCAGGATGTCCTAGATCTGGGATGCAGAGAGTTCTAAGTGTCTTTCTAGAGGTGCAGGCTGAGAATTACCTGCAGATAGGAGATTTCCAGAAGAGGGGTAAGGGGAAGAAAGGGACAAACCTAGAATGGTAGAGAATACCATGGGGATAGAAAGCAAAGAAAAAGAATCTAGAGGAAGATAAGAGCAGCAAAGTAAAATAACTTAAAGAAGGGGGTGATCAAAGGCCATGCCAAATGAGTGCTAAAAAACGTAGCCTAGGACATCAGAACATCACTGGCAAACTTGTGGAGAGTAGATAAGCAATTTCAGCAGATAAGTAGTGGAGATAGAAGAAAAAAGAAAGTGAAAAAAAGCAGATGTATGCTCCTGGTTCAAAGGCTTGATTCTGAAGGGAAGAGATAGGACAATTATTGGGAAGTTAACTAAGATATCGAGACAGGGTTTGATTCAGGTTTAGAGAGGACATCAGGGGCGAAGGAGACATGGAAGCTATAGGAAAGATGAGAATAACTGAAGGAGCAAGATCAGCAGCAGATATAGCCCAGAACCCAGGCCTTCAGACTCCTAGACATGCTCATTTCCATCCCATGATGCCTTCCTCTAGGTGAGAGATCAAGAGGGTGGGAATTATGGAGGGGTGGAAGCCCCCAACTACAGAGTTTGGAGTGAGGGCTTCCCTTCAAACTACAACTGCATAGACAGTGGACGCATCAGCAGGGACTACTGTGGACAGCCGACGGGGTCTCCTGAGGGCTCTATGGTCCAGATCAGCGTAGAGCAGGCTCTGAAGGAGGCAAGGGAGGAAGGCAGGATGGTCTCAGCAGTCTGACTCCCTTGAGATTCAGACCTACCTCTTGGTCCACTTTCCTGGGGGATTCCGTCCAGCACCTTTCCCATTCCCAAGTCCTTACCGGCTCCTGGTCCAGGTCCCCTGGAATCTTGGGCTCCTCCTCCTCCATGGGTCTCTGGGGCTCGGCTTTCATCAAAGGAGCTATATGGGGGGGACAGAGCTGAAGGATGGAGAGAAGGTGACCAACTTGTCTGCTCCCAACAGGGGCCCAACTCAGGAATTGAGGGGAGGGGACTGTACCAGTAGGAGAGGAAAAATGGGGAGGAGTTAGTCTTACCAAATGTGGGGAGTGGTGGAAGCGGAGGCGGGGGCGAGCGCCTGTAAAGGAGTATAAGAGTCTTTAATAGTCACCAATCTTGTTGCGCTGGTTCTCCTTGGCCGCAGGCGGCGCCAACCACAACCTTGCAACTTGCTCACTCTGACCAGCAAAACAACTTAGGCCCCTCCCACACAAAAAGTGCTGCCCACACACCGATCCTGTGGCGCATCTAGCTTCACTCCTCTAGTCATGCCCAGCTTGGTACACCAGCCTCCGGCCTCGCTCCCAAGTGTTGACCTCTTGCGTTCTCCAAACCATGCCTGGATCTCCAGATCTAGCTCTTTTCTTTGCGAAAATTCACGTTTCGCCCCTGCCGCCTCTGGTCAAGCCCTATTAAACCAGGCCCCGCCCCTGGTGCTCACCTGCGCAACCACCAGACCACGCCCAACGCTCCCAGTCCTAGCACCAGACCAGCGCCCAGCAACGGGACCAGGACTTGGGGATACAGCGACCCTAGGGAAACAGCGTGGCGGGGAGGGATGCAGACGTCAGGGGTACGACTACAGAGAGCTAGCTCTGTCGCTCAGCAAAGCTTCCATCCCTCTCCCCGGAGTGTGTCCGAGTTAACTCCACCGTACGTGTTGATCTCCACTTACCGTGCGTAGGCCCCTGGGCTCTGCAATCGGCCCTATCGCCCAGCACGTGAAGCACCGTACGACTCTCATCCTCGTGGCGTCCCCTGCAGAAAAATGTGCCCGAGTCCCCCGCACTCAAGAGCAGCTCCAGCCGCCGGATACCAGGGTCCAGAGAGCGTAGGCGGCCAGCGAAGGGCAGGAGTGGAGGCACAGTGGGGATCCCACTGGACGATGCCCACAGGATCGGGCGACGTCCCTTGGACAGACCTTTGCAAGCTGGGAAACTAGGCGCCCAAGCCCAGCGGATGGGGTGTGAGACCCCCACGCAGGAAAGATTCACCCGGTCTCCAGGGCGTCCATCCAGAGATGCTAGGGGAGGCGGGGGACGGTGGTTAGGACAAGTCCATGGGGCAGGTCGATGACACTGTCCCCACCCCATCTCTTTTTTTCACTCTGCCCTTCCACCATTTTGGATCTTCTCACACACTCGCGACTCCTCAGGTGTTCGCTTCCCCTGCCTCAGTCTTTCCTCACCATCACAACTTTCCCCGGAATTGCTTACCCCCCGGGTCCCCGTGGGCCCTCGAAAGCAGCAGAGGCAGTAGCTGCAGAACCAGGGCCATGGCTGGGGTGAGGTGGGGAGAGGCAGCAAGTGAATCAGCGGGAAGACCGGAGGGAAGTCTGGGGACAGGGACTGAGGTATCTCGGGACTGGGGGCTCTGATAAGAGCAGGGGCGGGGCCACCAATTCTTCCATCTCTTTAGGAATCCTCACAGGCAAACTCACAGCCCTAAAACAGTGCCCACTTAAAATTTGTAATAGGCTGTTTACACAGCACTCCTGCCTACTTAACTCCTCCAGCAGAGTGATAGCTGGGACAAATTCTGGAGCTCCACTGTCCTGAGTTCATATGTTGACTTTGCCATCTATGAACTGTTGGATGTGGGCAAGTAGCTTAACTGCTGCCTCTTTGCTCATCTGTAAATGAAGATGAACACACCTATTTCATACAGCATTGTGAGAACTAAAGTAATACCTGTAAAACAACTAAAGCAATGATGGACATAGGAACACTAAGTGCTCACCATTATTTTTACTACTTCTGTTCTTATTTTAGCTTCTATCTCACCTTTCTGTGCCCACGCTGTCCTTCCCCGCCTGCAGTACCCCACCCAAGTCCACAAGTTTTGACTGGGGAGGCCTTTAGGAGCAGATGCAAATGTCCCACACCTGTTACTCCAGCAGCCTTCACTGGACTGGAGCCATCAAGATCACATCAAGCCCATGTGGAGGGGTGAGGTCCCTCAAACCTTTAGGGGGCCTGAAGCAGCAACTCTTTAGAAGGTAGGCAGCCTCAGTTCCCCTATCCCCAGGACATCACAGAAACCCTCCATGATGTCACAAACCCTTCATCCTGTGGTTGGGCTGGGGTGGGAAAGACCAAATGAGGGTTGAGTAAAGATTAATTCAATCCCTTCCATCTTTAATTTCTGCCTGCATCCTGGCCAGTGCCCCCCAGGGATCCAAATTCGGCAATCCAGCTTGGGCCACATTCCATTGTTTCCTAGGAACTAGCAGAAGCTGCCACTATGGTCATTGTAAATCATAGAGGCTTTTTGGTGACTCTCCTTCAGAGGACTAGACAGGGCTTTCAGCCGGGCATCCTGAAACCAAGAACCAAAATGGAGTTGGCCACCAGTGGCACTTCCCCTTCCCCTTCCCTCTCACCCATCCCCATTCCCCAGCCAGGTCTGCTCAGCCTCTCCCCATCCTTAGTCTTTTTCTCTGGTCAGCACAGTGTAAATAGGAAGGGAGGTGCCAGCAGAGGCAGAGAAGGGAGGGGCCTTGGGATTATAAATTCCAAAAAGGCCGTTCAACTCCCAGAGCAGGATCCCTGAAAATCTCTTGACAACGGCTGTGACTACTACCATTCTTGGGACCCTCACCATGAAAGGCCTTCTTCTGCTCACCCTGTCTGCTCTGCTCTGCTGGGTCTCAGGTAAGTACCTGTGGCCCCCAAGAACCTGGTTCACCTGTCAGGACCTCAACCTCCCTGCCCTGACTGTACCACCCATTAGTCATGATCCCAAAAACCCTCAGCCCCAACTGGCTCAGCTCTCCTATGTTTCCAGGACCAGATCTCTCTGTTACAGGCTCCTTGCACAATTTCTCAAGGACCCAGGTCTCCATCATCATATTCCTCCTCATCCCCAAGAAAGTGCCACTTTTCTCACCTGCGAGGGCTCCAGGTCTCTTTCTCACTCCAAGGTGCCCACTTCTTGGAAACTCTGATATCTAGTTCCCTGGCTTGCCCCATTTCAATCCACAATTCTCCTGGATCCATCTTACTGCCTTCTCTCACCTCCTGCAGACAGCGGGATGTGTCTTCAGATTTAAGCCTCCAGATCCAGGCTTCTTTCAGACCTCACCCTCTCCATCTACTCCACCCTGGATTTAGGTACTCAGCTGTGGCTCTTCCTAGTGTATCCTTGTTCCTCCCTGAGCTACATATTCTCACCCCTACCAGGGACACAGGCTTTCTGGATGGTTTCAGTAACTTCTTAAAGCCTTCTGGGGAACCAGGGAGTTTCCCCAAAGCTCCTAGGGAGGGGATGCCAGGGCCACTCACCCCTAGAGTGAGGTGGGTTTTATTTCCAGGCTCTCCACTCTTGGACTGACCTCTCCTTTGCCAAATCTTGCATGCCCATGCCTTGAATTAGCTGAAGCAGGAACACTGGGGGTGCCATCTTCTGTACCCACCCTCTCCTTTCTGGTAATCTGCTAAGAAGGATTCTGATGAAATGTCTCTCAGGTATTATTCCTTCTGCCAGAGAGCTGTAGTAAAGAGGACTCCATTCAGGACTGGTTCCTCCACCCACACTCTTGGCTGCCCCACAAGGTGAAGAGTAAATTGCTAAAGTTGGCCACAGGTGGCTTTCTTGAAGCCTCAAGTTCCAAGCCATTTTTTAAGGCATCATAATCCCATCATTTTTATTCTTCTTATTTCTTCCTATTTCAAGTCTCTATCCTCTCCCTCCTTTCCCCATTCCTTCCCCACAGTTTCCTCTCATCCCAGCTGTCCCCAGACGCATGTTTTTGTTGGTAGTTGTGCTCCTCTTGACTCATCCCAAATGGGGTGTGGTGGAGGAAGATATTTAGGGTGTGAGCCTTTCACAAAGAACAACTCCACCCTCACCTGTCACCCACTTGCCACTTTCACCGCATCACTCACCTGCTCTGTCCCATGGACCAAACAGATCAGTGCACCTATTTCATAGGCTCTTCTACACCCCCATTCCCAGTTCAGCTTACCCCCAGGTAGCTTAGACACCCCATGCCTCAGCCTGACCTGTTTCTCCCCAGCTGATATCCGCTGTCACTCCTGCTACAAAGTCCCTGTGCTGGGCTGCGTGGACCGGCAGTCCTGCCGTCTGGAGCCAGGACACCAGTGCCTAACAACAAATGTGTACCTCGGTAATATCTGCCTCTATAGTGGAAGAGGGACAAGTGGGACACTCTGTCTGGGACTGAGACCCAACCAGGGCTAAGACTAAGATGGAACAGAGAATTATAGCAATGATGACATTTGGCCAAAATGATTATATACCAGGCACTGGGCTTTTTTGTGTGTGCATGTGTGGTAATGGGTACTTTACCACTGAGCTACATCCAGTGCTTACCACCTCCCTGACTTTCTTTTTCTTTTTTTCTTTCTTTTTTTTTTTTTTTTTAAGATAGGTTTTGCTAAGTTGCTGAGGCTGGTCTCAAACTCCCAGTGACTTGGGATTATTGGAATGTGCCACCGTGCCCAGCTTGACCTATGTCTTTATGTGCTCTGTTTCAATGAATGTTCATGACAATCCTATGATGTTGGTGTTAGTGTCAAATTGACTAAATACCCTCAAGAGAGATAAAACAGGCCCAAAGACCTCATGGCCAATCAGGATTGGGGTTCAGAATAAGGAGGTAGAGGAGTAAAATAGGCTGAGAAGAGATAAAGGGCAGGGCTGGGCAAATTTGCGAAGGAAGGAAGCCTGGGTGGGTGTACATGGTGGGGAGTGGGCATAGGTGTGCCAGGTGCCGATCCTAGCTGATCTCCCTGCCCACTCCACTCCTGCCTCTAGGAAAGATGTGGGTTTTCTCCAACCTGCGCTGTGGCACACCAGAAGAGCCCTGTCGGGAGGCCTTCAACCAAACCAACCACAAGCTGGGCCTGAACTATAACACCACCTGCTGCAGCAAAGACAACTGCAATAGCCCAGCCCCCCGGCCCACACCCACCCTGACCCTGGTTTTCCTCACTTCCTTGGCTGGCCTTGGCCTCTGGCTGCTGCACTGAGGCTCACTCTGTGGCTGTCCTTCCTCCCCACCTGCCTTAGCCAGAGCCTCTCTCCTTATGGCTCCACATCTCCTGTTTCCCAGAATGATCTTTCTCTGGCTCCCCTTCCTCTGAAGAGCGTTTCTCCAGTCCCTTCTCATTTCTTTAATGAGACAGTGCCCAGAGTGGTCTCCCTATCTATTTTTCCTAAACTGTACTCTCTGTTCTGTTTTTCCTGAGTCTTTCCCTTTAGACCACTCCAGATCCTCCACTGGCTCATGAAGGACTTCTACTTTGTCTTCTACACTCTGAGGTGCCCTCCTTGAGAGGAGGGATTGGGATCTGGGCCGGAAATGGGGCTTCTGTCCCGTCTCCAATGAAAGCCCCAGGAAGGACCTGATGACCTCACTCTATGGGACTGATTCACCAAACCCTCTACTCATCTTTTCCATTTTGAGTAATAAATGTCTGTGTCTAATAAATTGTGCATTCATTTTCAGAAGACTTTAAGTGTCAAACCCCCTCCCTGGATGTAACACTCTCAGCACCTTCACCACCACCCCCCCCCTTCCCCTTACCCAAGAGTCTTTCAGGGAGTTTCCCTGGGAGGCTGGGCTCATGTAAATGAAGGAACAGGTTTTTCAGGTCTCCATCCTGTCCTTCAGTGTCTGGAGGTGGCACATAGGTCCCAGTGTTTGGAGAAACAACCCTTATCCTAAATTTAGCCACACCCTAGTGATATTCTGCTGAGGAGGAGATACAGCCTGGCTTTAGGTCTCCCCAGAGAGGTAGGAGAGGGATATGTGGATGGGGCCTCAGATTAGGATCTGAGGCCTTACCTGGCCTAGTTACTAACCAGGGTATCCAAGCAACTCTCCTATCGCTGGACTTATATTTCCTTTTCAATTCAAAATAGTCCTATCCATGCTTACCTAATGTGTGAAGCCCTGGGTTAAATCCCAGTACTGCAAAAAAAAAAAAAAAAAAAAAAAAGTCCTTTTGGGAACTAAGTTACAAATGGAGGAAAGGGGAACAAACCCAGACAGCCAAGCTCATGGAATCCTGGTCACTTCCACTCAGTCCAGAGCTTACTCTCCTTAATAATCTGCATTACTAAGGTAGATCTTCCCTAGCAGCAAGATCCAGTAGTCACTAAGAGAGATTCTGCATCATCCTTGGGGATTTTGTTGGTTAAGGGGTGCAATGTGGGATCGTGGTTGGGGTCCAGGACCAGAGAAAGGAGCAACCACTGTAACTAGGTCCATTGATGGGCCAGAAACCCTCAAACTAGAAGATAGATGTCCCCATATTGCTGCTTCAAGTTTCCCATCAACAAAAGGTAGATGGAATTTTCCAGTCAGCTCTAGATTTTAATGGCTCACAAAGAAGTGCTTACTTTCTCACCTTAGATGTTCAGAGCTCCCTTGTTTCCTTGCTCCCTTGCCTACCCTCATTCCCACTACCCGCTCCATAGTCCTGGCAAAAGCCAGACCAGGGTGGTGGCTGCTGCAACCAAGATGCATGCTGGGGCCACGGTGCTTGCCACAGCACTGTTGCATAGGTCTCCAAAGCAGCAGTTCCTGTGAGTTGTGTAAGTCACGTCTCCCACCAATTCTGTTTCCACTTGGTTGCAATGATGGGTGGCCACACAGGCAGGATGGTGATGACTCAGGGTCACTGAAGCTGAGAGAAAGAATGAAACCGGGGTGTTGGACTCTTGGCTTCAGGATTTGCCTTCTGGGGCAGAGCAGATGTGATTTCAAGGAGCCCAAGGGAATTCTCTGCCCTCTTAAAAAACACCTCCCTGAAACCAAGTGATCAAAGTTAACACATTAACATTGTTAACTGCTGCTGTGGTGTGCTGATAAGGGAACAACATCACTTCTATGGTATTCCTGCCTGAAACACATGACCTCAATCTTATCATGTGAAAGAAAATAGAAGTTAAACCAGTTGTGGTAGCACTTGCCTGTCATCCCAGCAATTTGAGAGGCTGAGGCAGGAGGATCACAAGATCAAGGCTAGCCTGGGGAATTTAGCAAGACCCTTCTCAAAATAAAAAAATAAAAAGTGCTTAGGATAGCTCAGTAGTAGAGCATCCTGAGTTCAATCATCAGTACTACAAAAAAAAAAAAAAAAGAGGAAAAAACAAGTAAATAGACAAATCCAAATTGAGAGCAATCTACAAAACAACCTATCATAAAATTACATAAAAACAAAGTGATCTATCAGGGCTTTTCAAAAATATCAAAGTCATGAAAGACAAAGAAAGACTGAGCATTTGCACAGGCTGGAGAATGTAAAAAGACGTGAGAATGAAATGCAATGTGGGACCCTGATTTGTGTCCAGGACCAGATAAAGGACATGAGTGGAACAACTGGCTAAATCAAAAAGCCTAAATTAGCTAGTCATATTATACCAATGTGATTTTCTGATTTTGATAATTGTGCTACAGTTATGTGATATGTTAGCATTAAGGAAAGTTGAGTGAAGGATATACACGAACTTCCTGTACTACTTTTGCAAACATTCTGTCAATCCAAAATTATTTCAAATTAAAATATTAAAACATACACAATATACCTCTTAGCCAGTGCTTGAAAGTTGGCCCCTGACTTAAGGGACGAATTTCTGAGTAAATGGGCCTATGATTCTTTCTGGAGAATAAAGAGGAGGGAGGTAAAAGCCCAAGAACTGTGGGATGCTCAGGTGCTCAGTGCCAGGAACCAGAAGGGTACAGACTGCTCTTCTCCAACAGTGGCACCATCTGCCCAGAGCCAGACCGAGCCTGGAAGGTTCTGGAAGCCAGAGGAATAAAGTGGGGCCTAAAGGCAGGGAAGGGCTGAGGGTAGAGGGAGAAACTGAGGACTCACGGTTCTCAGACAGTTTGCTCTGTCCCAGGCCTGGTTGGGGTTTGCGCTCCAAGAAGCCACAACGTTCACCCTCACCACAGATGGTCACGGTCCCTTTGCAGGAGTTGCTGGGGCCTCCACCACAGTTGTAGCACCGCATGCGGTTTCCTGGCAGGAGAGGCAGGAGAAAAGAGGCACTGGACCTGGGGCTCTCTGGGGAGTTGCTGGCAGAGGGTAAGACAGGCCATATGAGAGGTGAATTGGCCTCTTCCTTACCCAAGGCAGCCCCCAGCAGTGTGCAGATCAGGATTCCAACAAATTGGGGCTTCATCATGTCTACCTGTGTCAGTAGGGCCTCTCCCTCCCTCCCACCCCCCTCCCTGGCCCTGCTCTGCCAGCCTTATATCCCCCTTGTTTTAGGCTTTATAGGGCTATAAAAAGGGAGGAAAGAGTCTTCCCCAGCAGGCGCCAGGGCCCCAGTGGAGACAGGGAGGGGCCTGTGGATGCTCTCAGCATCCTCTGGAGCCTCAAACTCCTCCATCTTCAGCAGTAGTTCAAAAATTATTGCTCAAGAACTCCTGGGGGTCTCTAAGACTCTGTCAAAGGGTCTTCAAGGGTCTTCCTTTTCCAATTCCATTGGATTATCTTTGAGGTTGGATTTTCAACCAAACAACGTATCCCTACAGACTGAATATCAAAGAAGTAGATATGAAAACCCTGCCATCTTAAGCTTGACATGAAATAGATTCACAAAAATGTAAAGCACTTCCACTCTTCTTACTGTGAAATTGAGAACTTGTATTTATTTTTCATAAAACTGTTTCATTAACATGTAATAGGTTTATTGTTCTTATTTGTGAAACAAATCAATACCTATTTAAAATGTCTTATTTTAATTTCGAATACAATACATATTGATATAAAAAACATGAAAACAAACTCTTTGGGACATTTGGATATATATATTTTTTTAAGAGTGTAAAGAGTTGGGTGCAGTGGTGCATGACGATAATTCCAGCAACTCAGGAGGCTGAGGCAGGAGGATTGCAAGTTTAAAGCAATTTAGGGAAGCTTAAGCAACTTAGCAAGACCCTGACTGAAAAAAAAGTTAAAAAAAAAAAAAAAGTAAAAATAAGAAGTAAAAGGGCTGGGGAGGTAAAGCACCCCTGAGGTTAATCCCCAGTACCAGAAAAGAGGGAGGGAGGAAGGGAGGGAGGGAGGAAGGGAGGGAGGGAGATAGACAGAGAGACAGAGAGAGAGCTCCTGAGATCAAAGTTTTTAAATACTGCTGCTCAGTGTCTCCCCTGCCCTCACCCTTCCAAGTCTTCCTTATTCCTCCTTAGTCTTTTTTGTGGTCCTGAGGATCAAACCCAGGGCCTCACCCATGCTAGGAAAAGCACTCTGCCACTGAACTACACCCACAGTCCTGTCTCCAATCTCTTAAACCCCAGTCAGCCAGACTCTGCCACACTCCCCCGTCCCTACATTCTATCCATGCCTTTGTTCCTAGTCTCATTCTTCCCCAGTGGAAGCACATCCACCCAGCCCCACCCATGATTAATTTTTTTCCTCCAAGGTAGTAAAGCTGGGAGGGATAATTATGGGGTGGGAATGTTGAGGCTTGGGGGGGATCAAAGGTATATGAAGCAGGGTGGGGCTGGCCCCTCCACAGCTGGGCAGTGTGGGTGGGTCCCCTCCACAGCTGGGCTGTGTAGGTGGGTGAATGAGTGTTGTTGATTCCACCTTCAAACATCACACACACTCTAATGATCTAGGCCAGGACTGTTTAGGAGTGTAACCTTGAGAAGCACACATGCACTGAGGGGACAGAGAAAACAAAGAATAAGAGAACAGAGAACAGCTTGAGATGGGGAGCAAGGGAGGGGAGCAGAAGGGAAGGCGACAGACATAACTCAGGAGCAGCAGACAGAGCTGAGTTATAAACACTGAGAGAACAGAGAAGACCCTCAAGGCACAGGAGGGGAGGTGGGTGAGAGACAGGGGCTTCGGAGCAGAGGGCTGGGGACCCTGTTGAGTCATGCTGGTGAAATCTATCCTATTCCACCCCCAGGTTCTCTCCCTAGGTGTGTTTGTTTACTGGTCCCTCCCTGTCATGCTCAGATGTTCCATCTCGGGGTGCAGATCACATTCTCCCAGATTCCTGAGCCCAGGTTCTGCCATGGGCACCTCCAGCATCTTCCTTTGCGTCTTGTTCCTCTGGGGGGCATTGGGTAAGGGTGGACTGGGGAATCCTCGGGGGGCGGGGGGCAGGGGGCTGGGGCAGGGGCTGGCAGATTCTGAGGATTGGAAGGGAGAGGGAGCTGGGAGAAGCCAACAAGAGAACAGGAAAGACTTTGGGGAGACCAGCCACTGGGATGGCCTCAGGCCAGTTGACAATGTGAAAGAGCAGAAGTTGCCTTTCAGAGGCACTGTCTCTTCCTTGCTGGTCTTTGACTTGCCTCTGTGTCTCTTGTTCCTTATCTCACCTCTTGCTTTTGTGCTGGACCCCTCAGTCAATGTCAATTCCCATTTTCTTTTCTGCCTCTGATGCCATCTACTTAAGTTTTTTCACTTTCCCCCTCCACCTCTTCACCAATCTCTCTCTCTCTCTCTCTCTGTATGTGTGTGTGTCACCAATCTCTCTCTCTCTCTCTCTCTCTCTCTCTCTCTCTCTCTCTCTCTTTCTCTCTCTCTGTATGTGTGTGTGTGTTTCTCTATGCTTGTCTCTGATTCTTTTGGCTTCTGTTCATGTCTGCACCTCCCTTTAATTCCCTTTGCCTCTCTGCATGTTTCTTTTCATTCGTTCTCTCTCTTCCCTTTCTTATTTTTCTACTTCTGTCTGCCTCCATTTTATGGTTCCTCTGTCCCACTTTGTGTGCCATCTCTCTCTGTATGTCCCTCTGCCAGCTCCTTTGGGGTTCTGCTTTTTACCTTCTTGCCCTGATCTCTGCTGACCCAACAGGTCTCACCACTTCCCCTGCCCAGGGACGGCTTCACTGTTACACCTGCAGCTTCGCCAAGCCTTGCTACCCTGTACCCACAGAGTGTCAGGATGATGAAGCTTGTGGCATCACTGTTGGCACCTCAGGTAGGAGTATGGTCCATTGGCCCTTGTCCAGGTGGCTCCCTACCTGTCTCCTTCCTGCCTTTCCTGCTGCCCTCCGCCTCAGCATTCCTCCTTCATCCCACAGACCAGAATGAGATCATCGAGCGGAAAGGCTGCCTCCCAAGGACCCAGTGCCCTCTGCCAGGTCATGCCACCTACTGGTCACGTGCCTACATTCTGCGGCACCACTGCTGTGAGCAGGACCTGTGCAACTCGGCTGTCACAGCACAGTGGCTCCCCAGTCTCTTCCTCACCACCCTGCTCCTCCTGGTGGCCAATTTTGCCTGGGGAGGCCAACTCCTCCACTAGCCTTGTGTGGACTCTCAGCCCCCAACCCAAGACTCCTTCACCATCAACATGGTACTGGAAATACCTGCATGGACACTTTTGAGACATGCCCAAGAACCTGATTTTGTACACAATCCTTAGACTCCTAGACCCAACACCTCCACAGACCCCTCCCAAGACCTGTTTCCCATGGGCACTGCTCTAGCCCTTGTAGGCACCCACCCAAAGCCCAGCCTCATAAGAAACATCTGCTCTGTGTCTTTTCCAAACGCCTGGTGCTGATGTCTTCTCTCAGCCCCAGGTGCCTAGCAAGATGCCATTTTGATAGAGCTGTGGTCCCAGGCAAGGGAATTGAAAGGGCACAAGGTATGGTGATGAGGAAGGTCTTTCTGGGAAAGATGTAACATAGTAGGTGGGGAACTATAGAGTACATTTAATAAAGGAGTTATCTGGGAACCTAGCAATGGTTCAGTGTGTGCAGGGTGTGTGTGTGTGAATGCACGGGTGTGCTCTCTAAGAATGAACTATAGCTGCCTGGCAGGTTGGGCTGGAGTGCTGGAACCTAAACAATATTCTCCTCATTTTCCATCTGTCATCTCATTCTCCTTCCTGCCAGTATCTTAGCTTAAGCCGCTGTAGCATGAATGTTTTAGGCAAGATATCAAAGGAAGTTTTTCTCCAGGGAAGCCCAGACTTGAGCCAAGACCCAAAAGGGGAACTGATAGGGTTACTTTATGAGGATGTGGCCTGGAGTCCAGCTCATCTCTGCCTGAGACTGGGGACTGGCCAACTTGGGAGTGTGAATGCCGTTCCCCACTGACCAGCCCAAACTTGTCTGTAGTTCATAGGTGGCCAAGCATAACCAGCCTCACTAGGGAATCCCACCTGCTAACCCTTGTGGACACTCTTCTCTGCTTAGGGAGAAGCAGAGAAGGTTTGGGGGTGGGAGAGGAAACACTGGGGTTGGATTGGGGATAAGGCTCTGGTTCCTGAGGAAGTAGAGAATAGAAAACTATACTTAATCTGACAGTCTGCTTTACAAATCCCACAGCCCACCTGCCCACAAGACCAGGTGATCTTGGTGACATCATGGGTAGCGGCTGGGCCTTATTGCCCTCTGTATCCTTACCACCTTATATGGTATCTAGCATGTGGTGAGACTAAGCAAGTCTTAGAGAATAAAGACTTGGCTCACACACTCTCCAGGGTGTGAGCCATGGGCACAGGGAGGTAGTGTTCCTAGGAGTCTGAAGTGATAACTGTTTAGCTCTGAATGCCACAGTGGAGCCCCACAGGGAAGTGTGTGTGCCATGGATAAGGAGGGAGTCTGGCTGGAGGTGGAGCGTAGGCACCCCCATTCTGACTTGGTTCCTTTCCTTCCATTTGAGGAAGTCTGTGAGCTGATTAAATATGTTTGTTCCCTAGTTTCTTTGTGAGAATGAGACTTAGCGGGTGGGGAGGTCTGGCTTAATTTGGAGGCATGTTGAGTCTTCTTTCCATTTTCTGTCCCTTAGTTCTCCCACTTTGCACTTCTATTTTTTCTCTCTCTCTCTCTGTTTCTTTTTATTTTAACTTTAGTCTCTTTCCTTCTCTGTTCCTCAGTTTCCCCCATTCTTCTTTAGATTCCCCTGTGACTCTAGATTCCTTTATCTCCTCCCTGCCTACCTCACCCCTTCTCACCCTCAACAGGTACTCCAGCCTCCCCTCAATTCTATAGTATTGCATGCTCAGGGCCATCCCTCCTCTGGCCAATTCAAGACACAAAACCACACCTTTTTGTAGGTGACATCATGAAATAATGCTACACCTTTTCTTCAGCTCCCCCATCCCCATTTCCCAGGTAGCCTGAGGGCTGCAGGAGGCCAGATAGACAGTAAGTCACATTCTCTGCCCACCTCCCAGCCCTACATCCCCGCTGAGGTTTTCAGGGAATTTTTCAAGTGCCAGATGACCAAGGAGAGAGAGAAGGTCACAGTTCCCAGCAGCAGATGTCACCAAGATCACCTGGTCTTGTGGGCAGGTGGGCTGTGGGATTTGTAAAGCAGACTGTCAGATTAAGTATAGTTTTCTATTCTCTACTTCCTCAGGAACCAGAGCCTTATCCCCAATCCAACCCCAGTGTTTCCTCTCCCACCCCCAAACCTTTTGCAATTTAGGCCTCTGTCCCCTGTTTGTTCCTTACCTGAGACGGGCCAAATGGATGTTTTCATAGATCTGGATTTCAGGTTTAAAGTGAGGAATGGAGGCATCTGGGGAGAAGTAGTCAGAATGTGTATAGAAGTCTCTAGATAATTCAGTTGTGTTCTTTTCTACTCCCTCCCCTAGAGAGGACAAGGTTCAGAAGCAAGATATGAACCTTTGCCTCACATATGCCCTCTTCTCCCTTCTGGAAGAGGGGGGACTCACCTCTGCCCTGAACCTCCCGGACTCTCCGCCTCCAGAGCATGATGCTGAGAGCTAGGATGGTGAATGCCTGGCCCACTGTGAGTGACAGCATCAGGATCCAAGTCACATCCCAGGCCATGGAAGGTACAGTGAGGTTAGGAGAAGCATCCATGGAGGCTGTAGTCAGAGCAAGACAAGAGGGATAAGGAAGGAGGCAGTGAGGGGAACTGTCCCTGTACCCCAAAGACAAACTCCTCCCAATCTGGTAGGATCTTCCTACAGAAGACTTCATGAGCTTCCCTGACCCAATATCCACCATCCCACTTTGCTCTTTTCCAGACCTCTCCCCCTGACTCCATGGGTAGTAGAAAACCTCAATAGAGAATGACAGTGTTGCCCTGTTCATATGTGGACAGCTAGCTCTAGAACAGACCACCAGCCAAAACTGCCCTCATAGTAATTCAACTTTTCAAGAAAAAATAAAGTGTCTTCCATTTATTTGTTCTTCCATTCATTCTTTATTCTCTAAGACTTGCTTAGTCTCACCACATGCTAGATACCATATAAGGTGGTAAGGATACAGAGGGCAATAAGGCCCAGCCGCTACCCATTGACTGGCCTTTGATTCCCCAAAGAGTAGCCATTTGCTCCACATCCTGACTTAAATTAGTTATTCTACATCCAATAGTATTCATTCTCTCTTTAATGACCTTTTTTCTACTTTTTTTGTAGAACAAATATATATTTTTTCCTTTTGTCTTCCCTATCAATGGGCCATTGAAACACTAGTGCATATATCCTTTCTTCAAAAGCAACTGCCCCAACAATAATCCTTATTTTCTTCAACTCTGCTATAGGATATTCCACAAAATCATAAATTACACTATTTATAAACAATGGTATATTCCACTGAAATATATACAACTTTGCTGCTAGTCTATTCCTCCAGAAAGTTGGCTTAACCAATCCCTTTCTCTGTTATGGACTCAGTCAATGATAAAAATTGCCTCCTCCTACCAGCAATGAATGATCTGCTCCAACAGAAGTCACCTCAACCTGTCCCTAGTTGTCTCCTATCCCACCTACTTTCTTATCAGCAGGTGAGGGATGTTCCCCCACTCTGGCACATCTCCTCCCTCGGTTTACCTGCCAGGCTAAAGCTGACTCCTTTATTCTGAGACACGAGGCAGCGGATGATTCTTGGTCTATGGCCCTTGGGCTCAGGAAACCCTTCCCCAGGACACACCAAGAGCAGGGCAGCCCCATCACCCCAGAAGGAATGAACACGTCCTCTCACAGGACCCTTCCCCTCCAGCCAAGTCACAGAGTCCAGACGTCTGACAGGGACCACAGAGCACAATAGGACAGAGCAGGAGGATCCATCTGTAGCCTTTGCAGAGAACTGGGATCCTGTGGAGGAAAGAAGACCTTTCAGTTCTTTGGGCTTCCCCAGTCCCTACAGCTCGCAGTCTCTGGGTTCTTTTCTACTCCCTCCCCATTCAACCTTAGGTTCCTTTATGACTGGTACCTTACCTTTGAGAACAGAGACATCATACACTCTCCAGTTCTGATACCTGTGGTGCTCACCCAGCACGGTGCACCAGTACCGCCCAGCATCTCCATCCTTGGACCCCTCCAACCACAAGGAATAGTTTCCAAGGAGTTTGAGCCTGGATTCTTTTCCAGGTTTCCTAAGGTTTGGGATTGACCTGGTCACTTGGACCTGGGCCACCAGGATGGTGGAGGAGCCTGCTCCAGGGCTGTGGAACCATGATAGGAGTTCATCTCCACGTAGGGTGGGTGGTGAGGGACACGGCAGCTCCATCGCTTCCCCCAAGGCTACATAGATGACCTGGATGTTGTCTGTGAGGAGACAATTGTATGAGGCCAGAGACCTCCATTGCATCAAGGCCCCTCTTGTCCTCCAACCCCTGGCTCCCTCCCTCTATAGGGTCTCCCAGCAGTGACTCAACTGATGAACACATTTCTTAAGTGACAACTACAAAGAAAGAGAGGTGGAAGGAAGAGTGTACAGACTTTCCTTCCCCCCTCCCCAAGCTGGTGGAAGGGTCTGGAGATGAGAGAAAAGCCTGGAATAGTTGGCAAATGCCCATCTCTTTAGACATTTACTCATCTGCTTTTATTTTCTAAAGGAAACTGTACATAACCTGGACCCTCATTTCTTCTGGGTCTTCACCAGTGGTAGAGGCAGGGAGAGGTCAAATGGGTAAATCTGTATTCTTGAGTTGGATGCATTCTCCAGACCTCTAAGGAGAAAGATCAGCAATCCCTCCCTAATCTTGCAAATAGCTGAAATATCTCCCACCTCCTGCCCCTTACCTGTAGCAGCCTGGGGGAGCCCACAGAGGAACAGAAGAAGGAGAAATAAGACTGCCATGGGGAGAGACTGCCAAGTTCTTTCGCTCTAAGACCTGGGGTTACTAGGGAGGAAACAGAAACTAGATAAAGGCCCATACTCCCTGAGCTGGAGTGACATGGGCCTCTGGAAGGGATGAGAATGCTGGGGAGATAAAACCCAGTTGCATGTCTACTGGGGAAAATGACCCCACCTTTCTGTTTTGGGGGTGGAGGAGAAACTGACTCAAGCCACTTTTACGTAGATGGGGTTCCAGGTC